TTGTGGGACTCAGCTAGCTTACTTGTCACTTTGGCCACTGCGTCAACGCAAAGCCCATCACCCATCGGGAACGCGGTAGCATGAGAAGGATCGCGGGTAGTGGGCATGACATGATAGCCGTCTGGCACGGGAAACGGGCAGTAGGGTGGCTGATCTTAACGAGGCTATATGAAACAAGAGTAGACAACCAATTCACAGCTTGTTAAGACGTTAGGCCAAAGACGTTGATAAGCAACCAGAGTTACCAACTTTCTTATCGGCCAGTGATTCCCCTTCTCCCTTCACCATCCCCTTGGATCCACCCTCACGCGCAGAAGTCGTGTGTTGAAATTCAATAAGGTTGTAGGTGCAAACAGACTTCATTGAGCCCTCTTCAAATTGGAGGCACCAGCTTTTGTGGATAATTTACACAACTTGTTAGAAAGTTATGGGATCAGGAGACTATTCCGACCCACTGCAGTAATTCCGTTATAGACCCAATTTTCAGGCTAGACCCACTTTCGGTATTCGGCAATCATGGATGGATCGGTCCGATCTCAATTGCGTCTAATTTACTTGCCTATCGTTCTCCATAGGCTAACTAGCACCCAGGAAAAGCAGATTCGCGAGAAGCAAGCAGCGCTGGACAAATAAGTTGACTGTCAACCGTTTCGGGCTGCGCTTTGCACCCTCGGAGTGCAAACTCGTCTGCAGGACTTGCCGAAAGCCATTTCTGCGCTGTCCCTTGTTGGTGATCAGCTAGAAGTCTTCCGGAAATTCAAGTTCCCAGGCAGCTATATTAGCACCTGTAGAATAGAAGACGAAATCGCGAACCGTATAGCCAAAGCTTGAGGCGCTTTTGCTACATGTAGCGCCGGCGTGACATCACTCACCCTGAAGGACAGGGTTTACAACTCAGTCGTGCGTTCTACCCTTCTGTACGGCTGCGAAACCTGACGTATCAGATCGACATGTATAAGGAGGCTAGTTACGTTCAGCCATCACTACATTCAATGAATCACGGGCAATGCTGGTCTTCAGCAAAGCAAATATTCCCATTTCATTAATATGAATCAATATCAGAAATTGCTTCTAAGTAAAGACTGCTTTTCGGCGAACTCTCATATGCAAACGTTTACATAGCGTTGATTATGAGGAAAGCGTCAACTCGGGCTGGGATTGACTTCTGGGCTATTTGGACAATCCAAATCGATAACCTGAGATAGGGATATAGATGCTTGGCCAAATGAATCAAATAAACATGTATGCACAGAGCTCAGTAGTCCGAAGTAATGAAGTAGGTATGGTAACAACCAAATAACTAAGTAATAGTGTCCGTTGGCCAAGGTAGTAACATCGGCCGTATGAATCGTCTTTATGCACATGATTCTGGCTTCTGATGGTGAATATAGATATCCTCGGCGATGGATAAGATCTGTTTGCGAAATCCTTAGGAAAAGTGTTCAGGTAATGAGTAGATGACTTTGAAGTCATTCTCGGAAGCTGTATGGCCACATTCAAGATGGTGCGACATGTAGAACTTATCCGTAACTCGGACGGATCATACGGCAGCAAAGTACACAGAAAACACACCTGAACTGGGCAGTACACGAACTTTCACAGCGCAGTGCCTCTACAACATACGAGGACTTTAATCAGATCTCTCGCCTTCAGGGCGCGCAGTATTTGTACACCGGATACCCTCAACGAAGAACTACAGAGAATCAACGACGCCCTCAGAGAAAATGGTTATCCTGACAAATTTATCATGAAGCATTTGAGGGAACGCAATCGGAAGCCACATGGGCGCATTGCTCCTAAGAAAGAGCTTTGCATACATATACCATTTAAGGACGATTCTGTGGCTGGTATGTTATCCCGACGCCTGGAAGATGCTGTTGAGAAAACTTATTTCGCGGCCCGTCTGAGAATTGTTTATCATAACAAGCCGTTGCTTGCAAAACCCTTGAAAGATAGACTGCCGTCGTTGACCCGTTCAATGGTCGTTTATCAGCACTCGTGCTCCTGTGGTGCACGATATGTGGGTTGCACTAAGAGACGCCTATCTCAGGAGGCTTCGTGAGCACATCCCGGCATAGTTTTACAAAGGCGAAATGAGGTCCACAAACAGCACAATCATGTCGCACCTCCTTGAATGTGGCCATAAAGCTTCCGAGAATGACTTCAAAGTCATCTACTCACTACCTGAACACTTCTCCCAAGAATTCCGCAAACGGCTCTTATCCATCGCCGAAGCTATCTACATCCACAATTTGAAGCGGGAATCATATGCACAAAGACGATTCATACATCCGATATTACTACCTTGGCCAATTGACGCTGTTACTTAGTTATTTGGTTGTTACCATACCTACTTCATTACTTCGGACTACTGAGCTTTGTGTATGCATCTTTATTTGGTTCATTTGGTTCATTTGGCTTATCAACTATATCCCTGTCTCAAGTTATCGATTTTCATCGTCCAAACAGCCCAGAAGTCAATCGCAGCCCGAGTTGACACTTTCCTCATGATCAGTGCTATGTAAACGTTTAGGTCTGAGAATTTACCGAAGGGAACTCTTTATCCGACAGTGACTTGTGATATTGATTCATCTCACTACATTTGCTGCTTATCTCATGTCTGGTGGGAACACCGCGTGAGCAGTGAGTGGGTCCATTGTCTCGGAGTTGGTACGGCAAGAGTGCGTGAACTGCTCAACGCATATCGGCACACTGACGCCCGGGACATGCTTTGTTTTTGAAATCGGTGCCCGGATGGAAGAAGAGAAAGGAAGCCCAACAGATGATTTGGTAAAGACGAATGAGTGCTCTTCGAACTCGTTTCGTTGGATACACTTGTTGGCATAGCGAAAAGCGGACTTATTGACTTTTGTGTTATGCGTTACTTTGTCCCCTCCCACTTTTGCTCTCCTCTCCTACCACGATCTCACACTCGATGTGCAATATGATATAAAGCATTATATTGCTTGTTTCTTCTCTTTATTTTGTTTACTGTAATGTTTAGTTTCGCCTTTTCATTTAGGTTTCTATCGCGGCACAATGGCTGAAGTGTTTCTAACCTTAAGCTAACGTGATGTTGATGCTTCCGCAACTTGACAGTGTAAATCTGAAGAGCGTTTTGATTGCTTTTCTCTGACTCGTAGGCCAACTGGTGCCCTGTGACCTACCTAGCCATCTTCTCATGCATGCCACAGCATTGTGCTGGAACCAGGTGTATCGTTACTACGAATTTCTTCACATTTATAGTATCTTTCATGTCGATTTGAAGCCTCAAAACTTCTATGCTGTGCCAGCGTTCGCCAGCTGTCGGCGGAAGCGACACAGGTACCACATGAATGTAGCATGATGCCACCCCCTCTCTTTAGGTTCCTCCTCCAATCCCGATCTCATGCAATACGCATAATACAATATTTAACATCATATTTTTGTGGTGTAATCTGTCTAATTTGTATTGTAAGTTTTCAGTCTCTTATCTTTTTGTATTGCGACACATTAGCTGAGGTGTGTTTCTCACCCTCATGGTGATGATAAACATGATGCCAAGGGGGCAGGTCTCTTACTTTCATCCAACATCGAGCTCGTTCTCATCCACATCAGAGCAAACTAATGTAGTGATGGAGGCTACAACCGTTTCAGATTCGTGAATGTCAGCGTGCCAAATTGAAGAGCTGCATTCACGCAAGCAACACCATCCGGTCCTATCATCCCATTGGGGTATCAGCGTCCGTGGGATTGATGACGAGATCACGAATCGTATAACAAAAGCTCGGGGCGCTTTTGCTAACCTTCGCCACTTATGGCGCCGGCGCGACATCACTCTTGCCCTGAAGGGTTGAGTGTACAATGCAGCAGTACGTTCGACCCTATTGTACGATTGTGAAACCTGGCCGCTTAAAGCGGCGGACCTGAAGAGGCTAGTTACGTTCGACCACCGGTGCCTTCGTAATTTAGCTCACATTTGGTGGGAACACCGCGTAAGCAACGAGCGTGTTCGACGCCTTGTTTGTGGCACAGGAAAAGGAAATGAACCGCTCAGCACCGTTATTTCACGCATCAGACTCCGATGGCTGGGCCACGTGTTACGCATGCCAGCCCACCGACTTCCGCGACGTATGTTGTTTGCGCGCCGCGGGTGTGGATGGAAGAAGAGGAGGGTTGGCGAAGCGATGACTTGGTCCAGAGTAATGAAGACCCTCACTTCTGAGCTGGCCTCGGTTGGAGCGTCTCGGCTCCCCTGGTTGGGGTCCGAAGGACGATGAACACGTTTGGTTGGACACACTTGCTGATATGGCTAGGAGCCGACCTCAGTGGCGTTCGTGCTGTGAGTTTCTTTGTCCCACCCCATCCCTCTTAGCCTCCCCCTCCAACCACGATCTCATTACTTAGCCTTATATAATTTTGCATAATATTTTTTTGGGTGCACAGCAGCCGGCTGGTAGCTTACCGGAACGATGCCCATCCGTTACCGGTAGCTCAGCCAGCTTTCACCAGTTGTTTTTTCTCTCCTTTTTTCTTTGTATTGCGACACAGTAGCTGAGGTGTTCCCCACCTCTAGCTAACGTGTATGATGATGATGATGATGATCCCATTGGGGCATAGTCAGCAAACTACCTAATGTGTAATACTGATGTGTCAGCTGTACGCCGTAACGGCATTTTGCTGCCTCGCGACCACCACCAGTCGCGCGCGGGCTGAGTATACCGCAAGGACGCCCACGCCTACGCGGATTCGAACCGGTGACCTTATGGTTGCAAACCAAACGTGCAGACCACTCGGCCACCGGCCGACAGCAAACTACCTACAGGTCCACGGATGCTGTTCAATCTCTTTAGCTCCTGGTCACACCTCTGCCCACCCCAGCCTTTACTCTTTGTGCCTTACTTGTCCCCCCTTATTTGTCTATCGGATCGCGATAACCGTATCTTCCTATTAACTTCATTTGCCTACTAGACGGTTTTGATCACGGGCATCCAACGGCTTACGGAGTATTTGTTTTACTTTGCAGCTCCACAAGTATTTCGCCACCTACTTCACGCACTGGTTACAGGAGATCTCGGAGTTTTGGATCAGATGCGCCCTACATCTGCTCATTGATTTTTCTGCACTTCTCGGTGTGCTATGGAGTCCTCCCTAGCGAATATATCGGTAGGTTTGCATACTCGTCGCTTTACATCCGTCAGAAAATCTTAGAGGATACTTCAAATTTTTCACTTAGCAGATTGAAGGCAGAAGCAGAAAAAATATCGTTGAAGTTAGTCTTGAGACAGAGCACGATCGTGCCTTCCTTACTCTTTACCTTAATAGGGATACAAAACCGGTGTTCGATGTTGCACTCCGAGGGAGAATGCTCCGCCTTTTGTCTACGCAATCTGTCGACGAGGTCAAAACACTTCTAAAAATGGGCGTTGCTGCAGCTCTTGCTAGTAAGCCACTGTCTTGAATTGGGTTACCATCGGGAGAGGGGTTACTAATTGTTACAACTGCAGCGCAGTTATTTTCCTTAAGCTGAACCAACTACTTCTTAGGTTGATTTTCAATAACTCAAACAAATACATTGTACACATACATTTCCATACGTGCTGTTTCTCCTTTTTTTCCCGATAACGCTTACACTCTAAGTTGTGGCAGTGTTCTTTCGGTCAGATGCACTCAGGAAATTTCGGTTTGGTGACAGACAGTAGGCGACAGCCATGCACCTTGCAATCGGAGGCCACTTGTCGCTACATCATTTTTGTAGAGTGGAAAATGGATTCCTATGATGTTATTTTTAGTTGAATTCGGTGCTTTAACACTTTAGTCAACTGTTTGATACCGTACTTTATTCTCAAGTCATGTACACTGCTATTGATCATGAACACGGCTACTGTTTTGAGCCTTACTTTTGTTCTCACCGTCCCCTTTTTTCTATTACTGGTGCCACTCTTCTGATTTGTGCTTGCATTCCGACGAAACAGCTGCGCGTTGTTATACTAACGGTGACTGAAATGACTTCGACATCCGTATCGAGACACTGATGTTCACAAAGTTTAGTTCACTCCACTTGAACGACTATAATCCAGGCAACGAAGTGCGGTGGATCTGGTTGCCACGTCTCACATCTCCAGATAAATCATACTTACCAACGGTAAGCAAAGGACCTTGATTTCAAATGGAATACAAAGAAAGCGAAATCAATAAATAAAAGCCTTAAACTAACCATATAGCAAAAGCTCGCGGCTCTTTTGTTGACTTTTGCCACCTATGGTGCAGGCGCGACATCACTCTCACCCTGAAAGGTAGAGTTTACATTGCAGCCGTACGTTCGACCCTTCTGTAGGGTCTTGAAACCTGGCCCATTAGATCGGCAGATGTAGAGCGGTACCTTCACAGTTTTTTTCGTAACAGCTGGGAACACCCCGTGGACAACGAGTGTGTTAGGCGCCTTGTTTATGGCTCAGCACCGTTATTTCACGAAGGTTCCGATGGCTGGGCCACATGTTAGGCATACCAGCGCTCTAACTCCCATGATGTGCGTTTGTGCGACCGGGGTTTGGTTGCAAGTAGAAGAATGGAAGTGAAGGGGTGACTTGGTCAAGAGGAATGAAGGCCCTTACTTCGAAGTTGGCCTCGATTAGAGCCTCTTGGCTCTCTGGTTGCGGCCCGAATGATTATGTACACTTTTGGTTAGGAGCCGACCTCATTGGTGTTTCTACTGTAAGTTTCTCTTTCCATCCCCTTCCCGCTTAGCCTCCCCTCCAAACTCCGATCTCATTCCTGACACACAATATCCTTTGTTTGCGGCACAGTACCCGGCTGCTAGATCCTCAGAACAATGTCCATCCGCTACTGGTGGCTCAGCTGGCGTGCCTCCTTTTTCGTATATTTCCCTTTCTCATGTATTGCGGCACGATAACTGTGGTGTTTTCCACCTCTGTCCAACATGTATAATGATGCTAGTAATCCGTTAAACCAACCGCGATGGAATGAAAATCAACAGCTTAGTACATGAAACCTAATTCGGAAACATTACTGCCTGTGTGACATCACTATGTCTGATACACCCTCCAACCTATAGTATGGATCTTCCCGCGCCCCCACCGCGAAGACGATATGTACCGGACTGACCAGGTCTCTCGGTCAGTTTCCTCAAGCGTTTATGCCACGTCATCGACTGGCCATCTCACGGTTTCGCCCAATTTTCTGCAACGACGACGTATAATGCACGCCGAGGAAGGCGGTTAACGAGTCTACATAGAGCTTGACGTAGCCAACGTAAGCGGTTAAGACTAGTCGAACACTCAAGTGAGGCACCAGAAGACTTCTTGTAGGAAACAACTGGCGGACCTCAGCGTTACTTACTCGGTGTTCCCACCAGATTTGAGCAACACTACGCTAGCAGAAGTTATCAGAGACGGTCAATCTGTTGGTGTCTTCACTGCGAACGGGTCAGCTTTCTGATCCATACAGTAACAGCTCTTATCGCAGCGTTATGCACCCCTTCACTGATATCCCGCCGTCTTCCTAGATGGTTGATTCTTTGAAATGTCACACACATCTTGCTGATACGCGACATCACTTCCTCATTGATGTGGCCACCATAGGTGGCAAAACTATTAAGGTAACTAAATCGATCCAGCACTTCCAGTGGTTGTTCGGTGATAGCTAGAACTGGTGGCTTATCAATGCACTCGTGCAACAATACTTTGCACTTTGAAGGCGCAAAGCACATACCGAAGCGTACAGCGCTACGTGTCAGTCCATTCAGTATTCCTTGTGTAACCACTTCTTCTGACCCAAGGAGAGCTATGTCGTCTACATATCAAAGGTTCATCAGTCGGTTACTTGGCAGAAGAGACTGAAAGAACGGAGTCGTTTATGATCCTCTCGATCATAAAGTTCTATAGGAAAAGTGATGTAGGTCAACCCTGACGAACTCCACTTGTCGTGAGAGTCTCTAGAGGCATCTTCCAATAGACCCTTGCTTCGGTGGTCACAGTAGAGGGACTACAGAATGAGATTTTGCAGGCAATTTCTTCACGTATAGGTAATGCTACAAACTGGCTGAATCAGCAGTGTCGTAAGCGGCTTCAGGTAAAGAAATGACAGCCGTCTGTAACTGTGTCTCTGCCCTAACACTGTGTGAAGGGTAAATATATGGTCTATGCGACCACGACCATGACGGAAGCCAGCCTGGTCTTCAGTGCTTGGTCTCTCATGAGGACCAGTAAGTCTCAGAAGGGTGGTACCTGTGAGGAGTTTGGAGTCAATGATAATAGGACTAGTGACTATGATTTTTGCACAAACTCCTTCAGACTTTCCATGCCAAATCGTGTTGAATAGAGCAGTGAATACAACATAGTCAACTACAACTTTCAGCACGTATGGGGTGGAGATTGCCTCTCCAGGAGCCTTGCTTCGTTTCAGAACGGTAAGCTCATATCGAGTCTCTTCCAAAGTGAGAGGTGTGACATCTACTTCCCACGTATGCTTAAGTGGTTTTGCAAATGGCGGTGTCGCAGCAGGCCTGCTGAACTGTTCTTCAAGGCGCGCTAGTCGACGCGGCTGAGAATGTGTCAAATATACTTCTTTTTCATATTTTTTCTCACTAACTGATGGATTTCTTGCACCTATGATCCTGATGAGCTGCGACGTCATTTGATTGTTCCTAATAGCACTGGCTTTTGCCACCAACCAACATGTCAGGTCGATTCAAAGACTCATTGTCATCCGTTGTTTGAGTGCGTTATGGATACGCTGAAATTGAGTACCCAACAGAACCTGTTTACATACTTCGAAGGAACTTCTACTTGCTTCAGAAATCCACACAATTCATATGTAGCATGTTAGGCGTATACCAGGCGTCAAACGCATTCCTCATGGCCTACTTTGAACGATTCCACACTGCGTCCGGTCCACTGACCTCACTCATCTCTGTCAATTGATAGGCCAGTTCGTCATGATATTGTTTTAATACCGACTGCTAGTTTACCTTATAAGCGAAAAGCCCAGCAGTTAGGTGTTTTTTCGAAGCGATGAGAGAGGTGCAGACGTGTGCACGTCATGGGATGATTGGAATCAATGGACGTACTCCAAACTGACAGTCCTAGGCTGATATCAATATGGTCACCTTGGGTCCGGGTCATCGGAGAATTCGGTGCGCACCAGGTGACACGATGTGAAATTTCGTGCTGGAAAACAGTGCTGCTATTATAAAGGTCTTGGTTAACACAAAATTACAGCAATTGACCGCCATCGTCTGTTCATCGTGCATCAACGTCGAAGCGGCCTTCAAGATGTTGTTCAGAGTTCGAAATACTATCCACTTGGGTGTTATGTCACTAGCAACAACCACGGTGTCAGCATCTTTCGCCATGCGGAGAGAAGATGAGAGCTGACGATGGAAATCGTCATTGATACTCCGGATTGCAGTCAGTAGAAGCCTTAACGGAGATAGCACGGTTTCAACTGCCGTTCAAACCGGTGTGGGTATTGTTCTGATACTTCGGACTAAAGCGTCTTTGATGAATTGAATTTCAGTTAGTCGAATGTGTCCTGTCAAATTAGCTGGCTCGTTTAGGACTTTAAACTCGTGCGGGAACAATCGATGCCTGTTTGTCATTGTTGCCTATTCCCTCACAAACTTGCGTCGACTCTATGGAAGATGCTTTCTATCCTTGACTGAACGAGATCCTTCGACCCATAAGTACAGTCACTGTAGTTCCGGCATGCGGTCTGAATGCCTAAGTTGGAGTATTGTCTACTTATGAGCTCCATGTGGGTGACCAACACAGTGTGGGCTACTGCACTGGTAACGGTGTAAGTGCTCACTGAACCCAAATTGGGGGCAAGTGGTCGGATTTTCGCTAGCCTATGTACCTTCCTGTGGTAATTAGGATAACAACCTTTGCGGTAGATCGCTACGCAATCTCTAGTCACCAGGCTCGATGCTTGCAAAAAACGGCATAAAATTCCATGGAACTTTGCAGAGTGACCGCGAATATGCTCACGAGCGCGGCAGTTGGTAACCATCGGAAATTCTTTCGTTTCAGCCGGAAACCGGGCAACAGCAACGTGCGACGTCAGAAGACATCATACTCGAAAGCTTGTCAACGCTTGGAGTGTCGAGTTGGCCAACATTACCAGTTTTTGTACTAGTCAGCAATCGTCTTGTCCCTGCGTCGGGGAACCAGAGCGACTTCCCCCAACCCTTTTTCGCGCTCAAGAGACCGGCTATTGTAGAAAATTTAGCTTAATAATGAAACTGTTGCTGCAGGAAATTACGCCAGCCGACTACAGCTGCTCTGTTTTAGTCTCGATTTTCAAGGGAGACTCATGTTCGGATTACGGCGCTCATGGAGGGCTCAGTTTGATCTACATGGTCTAAGTCGCTTGCTTCTGTCGTTTTTCCTAGATCAAATAGCGGCTGTACAATTGAGACTCGCGTACAGCAAGACGAGTTTCGTGAAAGTCGTGGCGATGTGCTAACCATTGGGGTAGAGTAAATTCTACCTCATTGGTTAGCTCATCGTCTGGTGAGTTCGAGAAAATCTAAAACCGGTCTGATGTGCACTTTGGGACTATCTGTTAACCACTGCATGAGGCCACCAACATTCTGCTTTTATGTTTTTCCTCTTGAATTGTTGTTATCCTCTTTTTAGTTCCATTCTCAATCTTACGTTGGAGAGTCAGCGTAGCTGAATCCGCTGAATTTCGCCTCACCAATGCTCCTTGATTACCTTACCAACTGAACTGGGTATGAACGGTTGTTCTGAACTGAAACCAGCTTAGCGTTTACCAGTGCAGTTTTGTTGAAAATCATTGCTACATCTTGCCATTACGCTTGCGAGCACTTTGGGAACAGTGGTTGTAATTGCACTGATACCTGGGCTCCTTCATAACACCACTTCACTTTGTTACTATGGGGTAACGCTTACAAACTCCAGTCCGAATCATTCTACTCTCGCATTGGTTACCTCGTATGTCTATTTTTCTAGATATCTGCTCAGCTCCGACGCCGTTCCTGCTTTTCTCTGACGTTTTCAATACGAAACCAATCAATGTTTGTCAAGAATTGTTCGCTTTTATGGAGGAGACGATTACTACTTTGAAAGATGTATGATTTATTCATTTAGATAACTTTGAAATTTCCAGGTTCCATTATTCGCTTCTGGACGCAACACGCTTTTGCGAATGTGCAACGGTACGTATTTTACGCCCACATTCGAGATTACCTTCACAGATTTGCTTCGTCGGCTGTCGAAGTCCCAGAACACCGTCTTCTGTGGACAGATCCAGTTATTCTTGTCCAGATTGTTTCCGTTGGATGAGAAATCGGGTCTCAACTTGATGAGTAACTTCAATCTGGAAAAGGAAACACCCTACAACAAACAACCCGAGCCCTCTGTCTTCAAACATCAGGGCCTAACTGATAGCCATTTAGAGGACCTGGAGGAGGGTGAGACAACGGACAACACCCCGCCATTAGAAATTGACTGCACCTTGTACGTGAAGTTCTGGTCCTTGCAGGAATTTTTCAAAGTGCCCACATTATGTTTCGACAGGTCAAAGTGGTTGGTTTTTCAGAGCAGCGCTGATAAAGTTCTGGAAATATTTTCCAGCATCAAACTGACTTGCGGAAGTGAGGGGGACACGCAGTGCGAAACTAACAGTGCCAAATTTTCTAAATATCTTACAAGCGAAAAAGTGAGTCCGGTTTTATTCGACATTCCTTCTTGCAAACTATCGCCACCTTCATACATTCACCGTTTCTGTTGTTGCTTCGCATATATCCTGTGTTCTGTCCCAAAGACGTGTTATAACTTTCATTAACAACTACCAATGAAATCCTCATTTTGGGTTCACTTGCATTTCTCTTCTGAAAGCCGTTTTCTTTCCGTTGGCAACAAAAGGCGTTAAGTTGACTAAATATGCGCGTTGTTGAAGTTGCCCCCACGGGCACTTGGTTCTTATACGCTTTTAGCCCCTTCTACCAGTGGCCGTATAGGATTGCGCACTTGCGTTGTTATCTTATGATCGCCGGTTCGAATCTGCGTATGCACAATCGGCATCGGGATGTACCCCGCGCCTGCGCGTCTTACGGTGGTCGTGTGGAAGTGGAGCGTCGGTGCGGTATGCCGGCGTACTGTTGACACATTCTTTTACATCAACTTGGATTCATACGAACAGTTCTGCGCATTATTCCTGGCTTAAAGACAGACGTAAGGTGTCTATGTACAGCTGACATTCTGTAAATCTTGATATTCGTCTTACCCCGGTGCGTCATATCCTAATTCCGATCCAATGATGCAACTTTTTTCTAGTTTGAGTATTGCGTTGTTTCATATCTGTGCAAGCTCCACTCCATTGGAATGAAACACATTTGTAAATGATTAAAGAGGCGATATTTCTAATCATTTTTTCCACTTATTCGATTTATAAATCAACTCTTTTTTCTTTGACTCGAGGTGTACCATCAGAGTCGAGTCGATTTTCTCCATTTACTGAAAGCGCCATTTGATTCTTTTAAACCTCACTATTTGCTTATTTCTGCATTTTTTTTCAGCTTTTAGATCTCCAACTAATGGATTCAAGCTTCCGGCGATATATTTTGGTGCAATTTCTCATCATCTTCCAGTATCTCACTACTCCGACCAAGTTTAAGACGTACGTTCCCGTGAACTTATTACGCCCTTCTCTCCCACATTTTATTAGACTTTCCGAAACTACTTCGGTAACACTAGTATATGTAACCTCTGAACTGATCTCAGTACGCAGTTTAGTAATGCGATTTGTACTAAGCGGCAAGTATTGATCTACTGTCCTACGGGTTGGGAAGCCAACTTTCCGACGAATTACCTCCGACTGTTTGCAACAATGGAGTTCCCGTCTCTCCTTTCTGAATTGGCTACCCTCTTTCAGGAGGCTTAGCGGACATCGTGCATATCTTCAAAAGAGTTGACCGAACGGGTTGCGCCAACGACCCAGAAATTAGCCTCCTATGCTTTGCGTCCGATGTGCTCGCTTCCCCGCTTTCTCGACGGCTCAGTCGAGTACGCGAACAGCACATAGTTGAAGAACAGGCTGGGTTTCGCCCAAGTCTGGGCTGCATTGACCATATCTTTACGGTCCACCACATACGCGAGCGTGGTCTAATTTTCAGCCAGCCTACCACCGTTTGTTTCCTCAAAGTGCACGCAGCATTTGATTCAGCTAACTATGCTGCTCTCTGGAGTTGTCTGTTGAGGATGGGAGTGTACAAGAAGTTTGTCAACATTCTTTAATCCGCTTACTCCCGAACCTCAGGTCGAGTGCGGGTGTACGGCGGACTTTCGCCCCCTTTTATTAACACCAGTGATTTGAGAGTGGGATGGGTTTCGCCCCTGTAGGGACTTTATTGATCACATCTTTACGATCCCCCCCCTGATGCTTAAGCGCCGTCAGGCTTTCAATTGGACTACCATCACTAGCTTGTACTTGGCTCAGTTGATAGTGCTGCTTCTGGACTCGTCTGTTGATACGGGGCGTGTCCATAAAGTATGCTAACATTCTTCAAGCCATTTATTCTCATATCCCAGGCAGAGTGCATGTGTACGGTCCACTTTTGTCTCGCCCTTTAGTGTCACTGGTAGCATGGGATAGGGTTGTTTCGTATCACCTTCAACTTCTCTATGTATACTATCTTAGAGAATGCTATGGAAAACTGTGGGCTTGGTGACGTCGAGTTACTCCCGGGTGATCGGCTCCGTTACTTGGAATAGGTTGACGACATAGCCTTAATTTACGATTCTTCGTAGGTTGCCCAGGACTTGCTGCGCAGATTGGGATGCCTGTATCACAGTTCGTCAAGTGCAAGGTTTTCCTCCAGGACTGGTTAGAATCTGCCCCTGTCCTCACCCGCGCAGACCCTTTTTTAGAAGTTTGTGTACCTTGGGAATTGCATTAGCATAAGTGGATTAACGGATGAGATCAATTTGCGCATCTCCAAGGCCAGAGTAACCTTGGCTAACCTCCGACATTTCCGGAACCGGCGTGATTTCGCTGTTTTGTGTCCACAACCCTACGGTACGAACGATGCTTCTGAATGGCGGTCGGCTCTGGCCTGTTTGAGCAAGCGATGTCCAGAGACTATCCGTTTTGATTACCGCTGACTCCGGAACATTGCTATTGTACGTTGGCAGCGCCACAATAGGGAAGAGGACGTTCGATGCCGGATCTACAATTTTGGCAGGTTCTGCTGTTTAATACACAGCATAATTTCCTTGCGTGAGCTCCGCTGACTCGGGCACGTTCAACGTTATCCCAACGGCACTTTATTTGCATGCGCCAGCGTTGGTTAGAAGGGACGGAGAGGTGACCTACGCACAGCTTGGGTCCTTGGTCTCAAGATTTTGAGGTTAGAGTTGACCACGGTGGGGCGTTCCAGACTCCGAGGTTGGGGACCCAAGAACAGTGAGCACGCCTAGTTGGATACGCTATCGGATATGGCCCAGAATCGTACCTAATGGCGAATGTTCTGAGACTCCCTTCCCCTGATTGCCTTTTTTCCCCTGTTACCCATGTGTTGTGGCACTGTGCCTATTGTTTATTGGTCGTTAAATAAATAAATGGAACACTGAATTAACAAATATCAGTTACTTATGTAGGAACTCAAGGCCTGTACGCTTAAGCAGGCTTTGAAAGCGCACTAGGCGGAATCCCTTAAGATCTCCCACTTCGGAATCCGGCCCCTGGTGAAGAAATTCCTTTGATTCGAACAAAAGACTTATCTCCCCGACGCATTTGTATCTAGCTTCGTGTGCCGAATGGGGAACTCCCTCAAGGCGACAGTTAAGACTGCTCAATTAGGAAAGATCAGTTGTCCGCTTGAAAGAGGTCAGACCTGATGTTATGATTTGTGATAATGGGTCCTCTTCTGTGTTGCCTCCGATGTATTCCGCGTAGCAGATGTAACGGAAGAACAGCGTCCCATGATCGCTGCGGTCAAGTCGCATATCTGTGCTTCCGGTATCGACCATTAGTTCCTCGTTGGTGAGTACAAGGCTCAAAACAGATGAATGATCGTCCTTTCTGAATCTTAAAGTTACTAAATTTTAACACCTGGAAAAGCTATGGTCACCAACATAAAATAGGTTAAATGTTGGGCTTGTATCTGTCTTCCCCTCGTGTGGATCACGGAGCCGTCCTAACGATATTGCTACTTTTCACTTTTCTATACAATTTAATTTACGCTTTTCTATATCTTTGCTTTTTATTTTCTTGTTTACATACTTTGTACCGCAACTTGGTATCCCGCTCCTTTCTTTCTAGACGATCGCCGCGAAAGAACTTGGCTAATCTGTGATATTTCCACTGCACACACTACCAATTGTTTGTCGTAGACCCTTTTAGCGCTCGAATTCGGAATACGGCTGGCTGTGATCCAATCCCCTGCAGCCTGGATAAGCCGGTTGTTTGCTTTTGCTACATACCAACTGCGCAGATTATGTGGCTTTTTGCGGTTGAATTTCCATTGTCTCAACTGTGGTCTCAGCTCTATTGTTCTATTTGCTACTGGCATTTGTCTGTCCATTGACATCGAACCGTCGCACAATTACTCAATTAAATCATCATCAACATAAACAGCAGTACAATAGCCATTTGAACTGATGCTTCGTTGCCACACAACCATAATGATTTATGGGACGAAGAATGATATGAGGGAGACAACGGGGACTTACCGGAAAACCTTGGTACCCTAAACGAACGTTCAGTCAAGACGCCTGCATCTTGCCAACAATATGCCATCACAAACAGCCGGTCATCGTGTAAAGATAAGGTGGTATCAGCGGGACAGCTTCCTTGCGGCTTTCACTGCCCCCGTCAAAATAATAATAATAATAATGTGTCAGCTGTACGCCGTAACGGCGCTTCGCTGCCGCGCGACCACCACCAGTCGCGCGCGGGCTGAGTATGCCGCGAGGACGCCCACCCCTACGCGGATTCGAACCGGTGACCTTGTGGTTGCAAACCAAACGTGCAGACCACTCGGCCACCGGCCGACCCGACAAAATCAACCATTACCCCCGCAGATAACACAGCACCAAACACACTTTAAACAGGCAGTCTTACCAGGAGACGACAGCAGAGGCGCCATTGGTGTCGACTATGTGCAATGTCCTGTAACATCCAATGCCAAACGCAAGGCGAGTCAAGTGGACTCCATCCTGAAAGGCGAGACGAACCGACGGCACCCAGTTTGGTCGTCAGTGACTTCATTTCATGCTGCCAAGTCCACTTTTATCCACCACGGGCCTTGTGCCACTCTACATCTGGCAAGCAAAACAAGGCCCTCGGTAAGCATTGTCCATGCCAAGACCACTTAATTGCGCCTATATCAAAGCACTGTTTATGGTTTTCCTTCCGTAACCGAAAGTATCATACGCATTCCTTGCAACCCGTAGCTCGCAGATTCGAGCCTGTTTAGGGGATTAGTCGACCCTCGCAACATCCTTTGATCACGCACTTGTGCCTGCGTGACAGCGAAGCCTCCATACTGTGTACCGGTGTACCGCTTGTGCTTTTAATTTGAGTCTTTGTTTTAATTTTGCACTACACTCTATTTCCATACATGACATATTTCCGGTTCCCTTAACCGTTCACCCCTGTGCAATCTTTTTTGTTTCCAGCGCGGAACAAGTTTTGTCCGATGAGCAGATTGAGTGGGTAAATCGAAAGCGCGAAGCTGTATTGTGTCTTTTGGCCGGTTCCAATCTCACTGACTCCCACGAGTCTGGCTCCTTCGTCTCTGTGGTAGAGCGTATTTTGGAGCGTGAAGCGTACTGGAGTAGGTGGAAAAACGATGGCTGTCCTTCTTTTGTGCGTTCTTCGGACAAATCACCCATACAACTCAGGTCAGTCTCTGTACACTTGGTTCCCCGTTATCTTCATGTTGTTAGTCGCCTAACCCTGGGTTTGTGACTTTCTTATGAAGTGGCGTTTTTTCTTTTTCCTTGTGATGTAATCTTCACTTAGCTTACTCGCCTGCTCCTATTTCAGAAAACGTCGCGTGAACCCATTGGTCGATCGAGCTGGTAACAAAATCCTTCGATTTGGCAATGCAAAGTTGGACAAATTGTGGAACGTGTGTCCAGACAACTTGGCGGCATGTCGTGACGAACGTCGCCTTTTCCGGCCCAGTCTTCAGACCTATTTCCAAGACGCCATTATGGAACTGGATCCATCGGAAAAGGTAGCTGAGGAGTATCGGTTAGTACACGCATCACTCTACATTGACTTCATTTTATCAACGGCAATGTTGGCCTAATTTCCTTGCATGCTCATTTATGTTTCTCCTTCGCCATCTTTTATTTACCACAGCTCGATAAATAGAGAAGAATGGTGTTGGCGCGCATTGCGCTTTCTTTCCAGACGATCTCCCCACTTTTACATAAATTGGAATCCGCCGGGGAGAGCGGTCAAGGATTACCTAACCGTGATCTTGACAGAAAAGATTCACCTTGAGGTGAGTTTAACCGGTCTTGCGTTATTTCTTAGCGGCTCCCCGGTTCCACACTTGTACGTAACTATGTTCACGCTATTTAATTTACGCTTGTCGATCTCACACCTATGATCGTTGGGTTCGTTAGCGGGGGTTTTCACAGGTTGCTCGATGCGGATCAATTTAGTAAGATTCGTCTCCTTGCCATGTATCTCCGTCTTGAGCGCGGCAGTCTTTCATCGCTCTCTTGCCATTTTGAAACCTGAGTATCGGGAGCTTCAACAAGTTTTCGACCACGCCAAGTGCACATCAACCACCATTTCATCTCATGCATGCTGCAACATTGCCGCCCTTATGGTTACCTTGTGAGCTCACAAATTCGTTTGGTTCGTTCGATCATTTACTAGTTTTGGACTCCTCTTTCCACAGACTTGCAGTAACTGGGATGTTTTAGTTGACAATGTGTGATGTGGATACCGAGTGCAGAGACGGACTGTTGGCTTCTTATCTGTGCTCTGATCTATTGTTTCACTTTACACTGTTTCACACCCACCACATACTCTGTCCGTTGCTCATCGTTCAGTGATACTTTGCGCACACCTTTGTCTACCCAGGATTGTTAAGCTGTGCACTCAAGTAGGTCAAAGGTGCTCATCAAACAAGCGGAACGGGCATGGTCCTGTAGGTTCCACTTCGTTGTTGTCTGATATCTAAGAGGTGCCAAATAGATCTCTCCTGGAGTGTAAATTTCCTGCTTCTGCTTGATTATTTTCTGCTTTGTCTTTTTTCATCACTGACTTCTATTGCTTTATCATTAACGGAAAAACGTCAGTATGTTGCCTCATGTGGTCTAGTTGTCAGTAAAAGGAACAGCTTATCTGTAAAACTTTCCAAAATACTGGTCATTTTTGCATAGCGCTTTACTGTTGCCCTCCTATGTCTTGTTTGAGTTTGGTGATGTCAGTAAAGTTATCAGAAATCTGCAACTTAAACCTTAACTTCAATACGTATAGTGCGCCTTCCAGCTATAACTCTATACTCCTATTTGAATGTACACTGCCCATAAGCATGTTTCCGATGAGCAATCTCAATGACAATACGTATCATAAATACTATTACCAAACCTACGATCGTCGCAGGCAGCTGACCACGGGAGCGAATGTGGTTTAAAATTACCTGCAACATCACAATCTTCACTCCGCCAGGGCACTCGATAAGTCGATGGGCTCTTCGTTTCGTTGGTTCTTCTTATCTCCGATCTCAGGTTGGTGTTTTCTGGCATCATCATCATCAACAGCAGTACATCAGCCATTTCAACTGATGCTTCGCTGCCATACAACCATGAGGATCTATGAAATAAAGAATAAGAAGAGGGAGAGAAAGGAGGACTTACCTGAAAACCTTAATGCCCTAAGCAAACATCTAGGGTCAAGGCGCCTACACCTTGTGTAGACAACATACCGTCACAAACAGCTGGCTATCGTGCATAGGAAAGGCGGCATCGGCGAGACAGCTTCCTTTCGGCTTTCACTGCCACGCGTCATCATCAGCCATTACCCCGCAGATAACTCAGCACCAAAAATACTTTAAACAGGCAATCCGATTAGAAGACGGCAGCAGACGCGCCACTGGTGTCGGTTGTGAGCCATGTCCTGCAAAGTCTCGAGCCAAACACAAGGTGAGTCACGTGGACTCCAACCCGGAAGGCGAGACGGACCAACGGCACCCAGTTTGGTTGTCAGTGACTTCATTTCCTGCTGCCAAGTCAACTTCTGTCCACCTCGAGCCTTGCGCCATCCTACACCTGGTAGACTGAACAAGGCCCTCCTAGGTAAGCGGTGACCAGGCATGCGTAGCAGTGCCCAAGCCAACGCAACTTATTCAGTGCTATCTGTTGTTCTAGGGTGCTAGCAAGATTATCACTACCTAGTACTCGCCTACACACATCATCGTTGGGGATATGCTGGTGCCATCCGACACCAGCAATGCTTCGCAAACAACGATGATCAAAGACTTGAAGGCGCTTCAGATCTTCAGACCGAAGGGGCCAAGTTTCACTACCATAGGGCACCGGAAAGTATTACTCATACTTCTAATTTCGTCGCCAAATTTTGGGCATCTGCACCTCACGTAGTTGCCATATCACTATTTATCAAGGACCTAGAGTCCTCTATTGAGAGCATTCCATTTGTAAGGCTTTCTTGTAATTGAGTCAGACAGACCATCTGTGGTTCCAGCGGTTGTCACGCCATTTCTTGGCCTAGCATTTATGCTACTTTCCACTACAATCCCGTATGTAGAAGGCACCGGTCCAGATTGGTTGGCTTTATTGACTGGTTCAGCCTGAGCCCAAGTTGTACTTCTCCACACTACTCCTGTGTGTGTGCTTTTCCTGCTGAGACCCAACAACTAACGACCCCTAATATTTAGCTGGTTTTTGTGGTTGCATGTATATGAAGATGCGTCTAAGATCTAACTAGACCAAATTGTATTTGTCCTTGGTACACATGTGACTTTGCATATTTCGTGCTTTCCGGCGGAGGCTTTTATTTCTTTTATACCATCCAGGTAGCTCTTCTTGTTTTGGGCTAACTGCATTTTGAGTGTCAGCCGGTTGTTTCAAGTAGCTCACATGTTGACCTTTAGAGTTACTTCATCGACCTACTGCGGTCGCACGTCCTGTATGCGCGTAGCTGCAGGCATATCCGACTGTTACCCAGTCATTAGTGCACCTCATTTCGTCACATTATTCCTGTTAAATAGTGGTCCCAGCATGCAAGGTGCTCAACTGGCAAGCACAGGATCTTCAGCTTGAGTCTTATTAATGCCATATCTTTAGACGAGCGTAAAGAAGTCCTCCATCTTCTCGGACGAGGATTTTTTAATGTTCTTTGTTCACTGATGTTAACTCATAGCACTCTTAATGCTAATAACCGCTTGCTTTTTCGGCAGCGTTCTTCAGCGTTCCTTGGTGCAGTTGTCTCATTTGTTAAGGGTACTTTAGCTGTGATATGTCTATACAATTGATTTTCACAAAGAGCACCTGGCATCAAAGATCGCTGCGTTGAATGGCAGTAGTTTTACTTGGATTTTCAGAGTTTCACTTACGGCACTATGTTATCAGAAGTCCGTCAAATAGCACTTGTGACACTCTTTACCGTGATAGTGACAACGTGTTTAAGCAGGCTGTTAACCTATACATCTCTTTATTTATCATGTATGTAGGACGATAAGAAGAACGCTCGATCGAGCGATACATCTGCTTCCTCTACATTTCGGGACTCCACTACGGAGGATGCCGGGCCATCACCGGCTAAGCAGCCTCGAACCGCCGCAGAGACGACCAGCAACCCTGTTGATACAACTGCAACCCACTCGAGAAAAGCCAAGGCGGCTGTCAGCGCCAGTGAGTCCCAACCACCCTCGAAAGCTCCAAAAAAAGGACACTCAGTACCCAAAGGAGGCGGCCATACTGGGACTGCGGTCAGCACCAGCGGCAATCGCCCCCATTGTACCACAGTGGATTCGGTTGCCGATGTTAACGACCGTGAGGAAACTATCATCGACGATGTGAGTTTGGTCGTCAAGCTTATTCAATCCCAACATAGATTTTTGAGTGCTTGCATGTCCAGTTATCATTTCTGCTTGTCCCGGAAATTGTTTGGAAAAAGATTCATAGTATTGAGTGGGCAGGATACTTTCAAGTTGCCCAGACCTAGACAGGAGAACGATTAGGATTCTCAACCAAAGCCTTTGGTTCAAAAATCTGACCGCAAGGCAGCGGGTTTGGCAGTGGAATACAAGGAGTCCGTTTTAATGAGTAGGGAATTACCCTCATCCCAACCCTCAACCTGGATGGCCAGGAGACGGAGTTTTTCTGGCGTGTAACCATTGACCAATATGGTATGAATGGTTCTGAAGGTGCTAAAAAGCACCGCCCAGCATAGCTCAATGGATCGCTGAGGCACACAAACATCACGGTAAGGTCCAGCCTCATTGCGTTGCTTGATACACTAGTTGACTTGACTATGAGCCGACCTCAATGGCGTTTATATTTTGAGTTTCTTTGTCCCTCCCCCTCCCGTTTACCCCCACCCTCCAGCCACGATCTCATTTATTAGTCGTAATATAACTCATTTTTGTGGCACAATAACCAGCTGTTAGCTCTGCGGAACGATGTCTATCCATTACCTGTGACTCAGCCGGCGTGCCTCTTTCTCGTGTTTCCTCTTTTCTTTTGTATTGCGGCACAATATCTGAGGTGTTGTCCACCTGCAGCTAACGTGTATACTGATGAATGATGATGATCTGCTTGTCCGGTCGTGATGTTCACCTGTTTAATCCCTTTTAACTGCTTTTAGAACGTTCCTTACATAGAGCCCTAAGCCAACCTATTTCACTACAAGTTTTCGAGATAACAGTCTGATGACTACTCTGTGATCTATCACCGTTCCGTGTGTACGTATTGGCAAAGCCGAAATGAGTATTTATAGGCCCAGTCATCTTTGGAGGCGATGGGATATCAGCCTGTCAGTCAAAGGTAGGTTGGATACCGATGCGATATAGCTGGTGCTACTGTATGAATGGTATATCTGGCAGATATTAAGAGACCGAAAGTCTTTGATCGCCCCAAGTGCTTGCGAAGAATTTATCACATCTGATTGCAACACAGGGTTAGCAGTGTAGAGCGACAATATTAGGTGGTAGGCAAGCAACCCACTTGTATCTCGCTGTGCGAGATCAGTGACTGGAAGAACGCCCACACGCAAAATGTGTACAACATAAAGCCAACATGCATGAATGTCCACACGGGAGAAGGCCTACACTAGAAAAATTCTCCCACGGATGAATGCTCACACGGAAAAATTCTGGAGATTTCCCCGCTTTATTTGAGTACGCTATGCGAACTCTTAATGGAAATCACTTCTTCATTTGCACACTTCGATAACTGATGCGGAATGCTGACTGTATTTTGAACCGAAAAGCACGCGCGCAAGTTTGTATCCTTCACACACCTGTGACGAGCGCTGCTACCCTGGCTTCCTAACTTGCACGATCTACCAGTGTCGCTTTATAACGTGACGGTTTTATGCGCACCATTAATCCGTTTTTCTGGACTGTCCTTTTGTCTTACCGCTACAAAATATTCACATGGAGAAGCGCCCACTTTGACGGATATACCAGCCAAATCACCTGGTTCTCCATTAAATACCACAAGTGCTCGTACGGCGCTGTGTCAAATCCAATGTGACCGGCTGTAGGGTCACTGACCACTCACTCCTGTACCTGAGGGGTGAGTATCTAACAGAGAGCAGATGAAGAACCTCGCTGGCCACCGGCTTTTCTGTGGACTGCTTCCGAACACAAGTAAGGCGAGTGACCCATTTGGCTATCAACGGTCTTCGTGAATCACGCCGCTGCCTTGCAGGTCAGGTCTCGGGGTGGAGTCCCTTAAGTCAACCCTCTTCCTCGGCCTGGGCAACCGGGAAGCTTGCTGCCCACATAGCACATGGAACTTTCCATTCATTCAGCTGACTCTCACTTCCTTCTTTTCGTTATCGTTACTCATGTGTTGTGGCACTCTGTCAAATGTTTATTGGGCAAGTGTTTATATATACATATATATATATATATATATATATATATATATATATATATATAGCTTATTCTTCCCGTCCAACTGCGATCTCATTTCCTAGCTTTATATGAATTTTACCTAATACAGCTCTTTTTTGTGGCACGATGGCCGGCTTTTAGCTCTCAGGAACCATGCCCATCTGCTATTGGTAGCTCAGCCAGTGTGCATCTGTTGCAAGTTCTTTTCTTCTCTTATGTATTGCGTCACAATAGCTGAGGTGTATTCCACCTCCAGCTAACGTGTGTACTGATGATGATGATAATGATGATGCTTTTTGATGGACTACTGAGGGACGTGGCTTGTCGCAGGCAAAAACTACCTTATGCACAAGCATTTCACCTAGGTATGTAACCCTGAAAGATGCCGTCACCTCATGTGTGAGAGATTGTAAACTTATCTACTACAGACTGGCATACTTGCGAGGAATGGTAAAATTGCAATAATGGACATTGTTCTTAAACTGGGGTACAAATTGCAACTTTTTTGCATAAATTGGTAAGCATTACTTGTACAAGCAGATTCCAAGCATTTGTGTGGTTTTCAGTTTTTTTCCATGTAAGAAAGCGCTTTATGCGCCCAGTAGGTTGAATATTTAGCTGTTACCCACCCACTCCTTCAACATTGCAAAAGGTACAAAATTTAACACGGTGAAGACGCAAGTAAATGAATAGGTGGCGTAGACAGCAATATGGTTGCAATGCAAGCTTGTTCGTAAACTCCGGAACACCTGAGGTCTGCGCGCACAAAATACGCGCCAGTTATAGAATTACGGATGAGAGTTATGCGCTTGTGATGGCATATATGCATATATACTTTTCGAAGAAAGTAGAAGCCACGATTAAAATTCACGCACAATAATATGCCTCGACGGGGAGTCGAACCCCGGTCCCACGAATTTCCGGTCCGTTGCTCTACCACCTGAGCTACCGAGGGCTACCGAGGTGGTAGAGCAACGGACCAGAAATTCGTGGACCGGGGTTCGACTCCCCGTCGAGGCATATTATTGTGCGTGAATTTTAATCGTGGCTTCTACTTTCTTCGAACTTTATACTACTCACAAACATCCACCATTTATATATACTTTTGTTTGGCTTAGCAAGTTGCTCTGCCGTCAGACAGTGCACCATGAGAAGAGCGACTTGCATGAGTAAATTTTTATGTAGTCACGAATTTTGTACGACAGTATAACCCATTTCAATATCAGCGTTTTTTAACAGTGATCTAAATGATATATTGATGTGAAAATGTACGTTTTTATACGGGAGCGTTTTATAACGACACGCCCAAAGATCACTCCGGAAAAACGGATTGCTGGAGGCATATGCTATAAAACGCCGCCGGTGAAATTTTCAAGTTAGGAAGCGGGAGTAGCAGTTGTGCGAAGAATCCAAACGTCGATTCAGGGAAACTACTTTAGACTACAGTCAGCATTCCCCATCGGTCGTATAAATGTACAATTCATAAGTAGCAGGATTTTAGTTGTAAATTCGATAAGGCTTTCATCCCAACAGTTCACAAGCTACATAGCAGAGCCTAGTCCGGAAAAGCGCCAGACGCGTTTCGCCCTATTGGGGCTCGTCAGTGGCACGCATTCCCTCGGTCCTCTAATGAGGATCGAACCCATGACCGCTAGAGGCAGATGCCAACTAGCCAGCAGCTTAAGCCACTGAGCCATGGGGGACGTCGGCTGGGCTACATAATTTGCAAACTAGCTGGGATATAGCACCACCTATCTACCACTGTCACGGACAGTGGTTAGCCTGCAAGGTGATGACGTCCTCTCACTAGACGCTATACCTATAGCATTTTGAAACTAGATAGGTGGTGCTATATCCCAGCTAGTTTGCAAATTATGTAGCCCAGCCGACGTCCCCCATGGCTCAGTGGCTTAAGCTGCTGGCTAGTTGGCATCTGCCTCTAGCGGTCGTGGGTTCGATCCTCATTAGAGGACCGAGGGAATGCGCGCCACTGACGAGCCCCAGTAGGGCGAAACGCGTCTGGCGCTTTTCCGGACTAGGCTCTGCTATGTAGCTTGTGAACTGTTGGGATGAAAGCCTTATCAAATGTACAATTAAAGAAGTAATTTTGATTAAAAGCTCACACAGCGTGCTCAAGTAAAGCGGGGAAATTTCCAGACTTCACTTTTTCCCTGTGAGCATTCATTCGTGGAGACATATTTCGGCTTGGGCGTACTTTATTGTAGTCATCTTTCTGTGTGCGTTCAGCCTTGTGGGGTCATTCCTATATGCGCTTCTATGCTTGGTGCATTTTGCGTGTGGACGTTTTCTGCTCTTTACCAATCCAACAAGTCTTACAGCAATTAACCGAGGGGGCTTGTCAAACTTGTACTTGCCCACTTCACACCGTATTCGCCGTTACGCTTAGTGGCACTCCTGCATTCGGTTGCTTACATCTACTTGCAATACTTTATCCCAATTAATTTTGATCATTTTTTTCTTGACTACATTCTTTTTCAAATCGATTTGCATTCTATCTCTTTTTCACTGTTGTTTATTACTACTTTAGTGACGCGAATCAGCGAATCGACTGGATCCACATCCGTTTTTGGTATCCAGACCTTTGTCTTTTAACTAAATTGCAGTTGGCTATAACAGAACTTGTGTTAACTACTGTTTCGTGCCTCAGTTTCAGTCTAGCTACACCACCTCGTTAATTTTTTCTTTCCGGATACTACTACACCGTGTGAGTTCCCTGCACTTCGTTCGTGGTCATTTATTTATGCTAGCGCATCACATCCGAGCTACTATCTTACCATACTTTTTCTATCATTTAAGTTATCCATCATTACAGTGATTATTTATTGTGCTTACCGAGTCCAATGTACCACGCTGGCAATCTTCGCATCCACATCCCATGTTGATGCCATTTGTTTCCGGGACTACCTGCATTGTTCCACAAATCTCTAGTCTTTTCTGTAAATACGTTACCGTATTAATCATTGGTGCCAAACATCAAAGCAGTCAACACTGCTATCTCGTGCACCTTCATCCGCTTTCTCAGATTGGTTTTCTTCAACCCCTTTATTCCTGAAATTCTTGTACAATGGACATGTGTTTTCCGCACTGTGCGGGCCTCTGTGCCCTCGCTAATCTACACGTAACCGCCATCGTGACTTTAACTGTCCACACACATACACGCTTGATTTATCAGCGCACATTGAGACGTTCACGTAAGTACGATGACGACAATCGCAGACATTCCCGGTACCTGATTCCACGCAGGCAAGTTTACCGTGTACGGGTGGTACCTTCCACACATCATTACCTGCACTTCATGTGTGCCTCTTGCTGTGACCCACTCATTTGCTTCCCACTGACATGCATAGTTTGTTAGATTGGTCGTGGTTTTGGTCTTATATTACTGGTTTACTTGAAGGTGTTCTGCGCAACCTCAATGCCCTTTCCTACTGCAGAGATAACCACTTTTGAGTTCACAGACATATAACCCTAATGGTGTTTCATGTTCCTCCTGCTTAATGGATTCGACATTCTAGGTGTTTTGTCCTCGTGACACTGCTGTGCAAACCATCTTAGGGAATAATGGCCGCAGTGTACTTACAATCGTATTTAACAGCTTCAGCTGAAACTCCGTTGTTGAAAAGATTGTCCTGTTCTCCGAGCTGGGCATTTCTGTTGCAGACGTTTCGTTACCAAACTAGGTAACATCTTCAGTGCAGCTATTTGATGCTGATTCGCGCAGTCTCGCAAACCAATGCCAGATCTGAATGGCTATTGATTGTTGCCTGCTTCGAATGTCAGCGTTCGATCGGTTCACGTGTCCGTCATGTGGGCACCTCTTCTCCTTGTCGATCTGGTGCCTAACGCTGGCTTAACCTGCAGAGCTTCATAGACACCCTCCAGCTCCAGGTGTTTGTTGATTGAGTTCCGGCCAGAATGCCAGGCCTCGAGGAACTCACGCGCTCTGCGGTTTCTTGCTCTTCCAAGTATTTCAACGTTCTCCAGATCAAACTGATGGTTCTCGGCATCCATGTGTACCGACATTAAGGATTTCTCATCGTGGCGGCGGATGGCCAGACTATGTTCGTGCAGTCTCGTGCCAAGTTTTCTTCCAGTCTGGCCTACATAGTACTTCTCACAGTTCTTGCAGGAAATTTTGTAAACCACACCCGATGTTTCTTTCTTAGACAGTCTGTCCTTTACCTTAAAAAGTTTATTCCGTATGGTTTCCGTTGCTTCGTGTGCAACAGTTATCCCGTGAGGCATTAGAAGCCTCGCTGCCATTTCAGAGATCCCATGGATGTAAGGTAGGATAATAGTTCTTCTTTCTGTTGCACATGTGGACGCGGGTGGTGACTGGCTCTTCGACATCAGGCAGCGTAGAATAAAGCTTCTAGGGTATGAATTTCGCTGAAACATGTTAAATAGGTGGTCCTCCTCCGCCTTCCTCAGTTGCGGCGTGCTACAATGTGTCTGGGCCCGTTTGAAAAGCGTCCTCACGCAACTTCGCTTGTATGTGGTCGGATGGTTACTGCGATAGTTTAAGATCTGATCGGTGTGGGTCGCTTTCCGATAAACTGTTGTTTCCAGTGACCCAGAAGCATGTCTTCTCACGAGCACGTCCAAGAATGGCAACTGATCATTGTTCTCTTCCTCTTTGGTGAAATGGATGCCGGAAAAAATATTGTTGATTAGTTGATGTGATTCTTGTAGTCTGGAGCGTTTGAGGATGACAAAAGTATCATCTACGTAACGTACCCAAAGTTTGGGCTCCACTATTGGTAATGCCTTCTCTTCCAAGCTTTGCATCACTGCCTCCGCTACCAGTCCAGAGATTGGCGATCCCATTGGCGTACCCGTTATCTGTTTGTACATTTGACCGTTGAAAGTGAAATGTGTGGTGAGACAGAAATCAAGCAACTCCATCATTTGTGTGGCTTCAATTCGGTTGCTGGTATTTACCGCTCCGTGTTGTTCAAGCAGAGTCCTCATTGTTTGCCTTGCCAGTGTCGTGTCAATTGATGTGAACAGAGCTGTAACGTCAAAAGAGACCATTATCTCGTCTCTTTCTATTGTTATTCCCTTAAGTTTTTCAAGAAATTGTTCTGCCGAATGGATTGAGTGCTCTGAGCCTGCGATTAGATGTTTCAACCGTTTCCAAAGTTAAGCCAGCGTTAGGCACCAGATCGACAAGGAGAAGAGGTGCCCACATGACGGACACGTGAACCGATCGAACGCTGACATTCGAAGCAGGCAACAATCAATAGCCATTCAGATCTGGCATTGGTTTGCGAGACTGCGCGAATCAGCATCAAATAGCTGCACTGAAGATGTTACCTAGTTTGGTAACGAAACGTCTGCAACAGAAATGCCCAGCTCGGAGAACAGGACAATCTTTTCATCCACATCCCGAGCTACAGGTATTCTCAATAATTTCTAAACAATTCGGGCGCGAGGCGCTAAAATCCGCTCGCCGATGGGAGACCTTTGCTAACCGGCAATCCTCCACTCACGAGCAACTCTACTTCCTGCATGAGTGTTTGCGAAGACATGTCCTACCACCAAGTATGCACTATCGTCCACCCATCAACAGTCCGTTGGCCTGGAAGATCACAGAACAACATGGACGACGAATGCTGCGTCTGTTGATCACGGATGCACACAACCGATGGCAAAAGTATCAACGAGTAATCGACCAAGAAAAGGCCATTTGTTTGTCCAACCTCGGGGAACAGTTAACCAGAGAGCTTGAGAAAGCGATTGCCATTAGTACCCATAAGACCAAATTCCAAACAAAGCAGAAACTAGAAAGGAAGTTGGACAGAATCTCGCAACAAAAACCAGCAAACGAAGAAGACGCATGGATTAAGAATCTATCCAAACGAACCCTATCAGATACAGAAAGAGCAGTTATTGTGCGAGGTTTGCAAGTCAATTACAAAGATTCCAATCCCATTGATTTCCTTGCCGCACTTGAATCAACGCTGACCACATCAAACATCACAACTGAAGCCCAACATGCAATTAGACACAGCATCATCCCCGCTCTGAGTCACAAAGTGGAAACCAACATATTCAGTGTAAGCGAACGAAAGGCACTGACAAACCTCAGAAAAGACAAGACTATTGTTATTCTACCGGCCGACAAGGGACGTCTTACTGTAATAATGGACAAAACTGACTACATGAAGAAAGCACAAGAACTGCTTGGAGATGTGAACACCTACCAGCCGATAAGTGAAGACCCTACAAAACGTCTGGAAAGCAAGATCAACAAAACTCTTCAAAGATTGGAACAAATGGGACAGATCACGAAGTTAGAACACAGCAAGATGAAACCCGAGGATTCAGTTCTACCACGGTTCTACGGCCTACCTAAAGTACACAAAAATGGGGTACCGCTTCGCCCTATCGTGTCATTACCCGGGGCACCAAATTACAAGCTGTCTAAGGAACTTTGGAAACGGTTGAAACATCTAATCGCAGGCTCAGAGCACTCAATCCATTCGGCAGAACAATTTCTTGAAAAACTTAAGGGAATAACAATAGAAAGAGACGAGATAATGGTCTCTTTTGACGTTACAGCTCTGTTCACATCAATTGACACGACACTGGCAAGGCAAACAATGAGGACTCTGCTTGAACAACACGGAGCGGTAAATACCACCAACCGAATTGAAGCCACACAAATGATGGAGTTGCTTGATTTCTGTCTCACCACACATTTCACTTTCAACGGTCAAATGTACAAACAGATAACGGGTACGCCAATGGGATCGCCAATCTCTGGACTGGTAGCGGAGGCAGTGATGCAAAGCTTGGAAGAGAAGGCATTACCAATAGTGGAGCCCAAACTTTGGGTACGTTACGTAGATGATACTTTTGTCATCCTCAAACGCTCCAGACTACAAGAATCACATCAACTAATCAACAATATTTTTTCCGGCATCCATTTCACCAAAGAGGAAGAGAACAATGATCAGTTGCCATTCTTGGACGTGCTCGTGAGAAGACATGCTTCTGGGTCACTGGAAACAACAGTTTATCGGAAAGCGACCCACACCGATCAGATCTTAAACTATCGCAGTAACCATCCGACCACATACAAGCGAAGTTGCGTGAGGACGCTTTTCAAACGGGCCCAGACACATTGTAGCACGCCGCAACTGAGGAAGGCGGAGGAGGACCACCTATTTAACATGTTTCAGCGAAATTCATACCCTAGAAGCTTTATTCTACGCTGCCTGATGTCGAAGAGCCAGTCACCACCCGCGTCCACATGTACAACAGAAAGAAGAACTATTATCCTACCTTACATCCATGGGATCTCTGAAATGGCAGCGAGGCTTCTAATGCCTCACGGGATAACTGTTGCACACGAAGCAACGGAAACCATACGGAATAAACTTTTTAAGGTAAAGGACAGACTGTCTAAGAAAGAAACATCGGGTGTGGTTTACAAAATTTCCTGCAAGAACTGTGAGAAGTACTATGTAGGCCAGACTGGAAGAAAACTTGGCACGAGACTGCACGAACATAGTCTGGCCATCCGCCGCCACGATGAGAAATCCTTAATGTCGGTACACATGGATGCCGAGAACCATCAGTTTGATCTGGAGAACGTTGAAATACTTGGAAGAACAAGAAACCGTAGAGCGCGTGAGTTCCTCGAGGCCTGGCATTCTGGCCGGAACTCAATCAACAAACACCTGGAGCTGGAGGGTGTCTATGAAGCTCTGCAGGTTAAGCCAGCGTTAGGCACCAGATCGACAAGGAGAAGAGGTGCCCACATGACGGACACGTGAACCGATCGAACGCTGACATTCGAAGCAGGCAACAATCAATAGCCATTCAGATCTGGCATTGGTTTGCGAGACTGCGCGAATCAGCATCAAATAGCTGCACTGAAGATGTTACCTAGTTTGGTAACGAAACGTCTGCAACAGAAATGCCCAGCTCGGAGAACAGGACAATCTTTTCATCCACATCCCGAGCTACAGGTATTCTCAATAACTCCGTTGTTGGCCTCTAACTGTCGATTGTTCCGTTCCACTGATCGATTCGACTAGTATACGCTACACGCGCGCCCGGCGATTCCTACCGCGGCGTGCGCGTAGCTTTCACAAATGTTTGTAGTTTAATGAACAAACGTGACGATCTATATGATTTTCTTTCCTCGGCATCCGGACGTAATAGGACTGGCCGAAACCTGGTTAAATCCTGAGGTTACTACCCAGAAACTCGTACTTCCGGTGCCACAGGGTTTCAAACGAACGCGGTGATGTTCTGTCATAGATTCACTCTTCGCAGTGCGCGAAACGGGTAAACACACATCGAAGAGGACATGACCTTTGCGAGCATCTATGGTTGTACGATCCGCCAGAGATAGAGTGGAATGTTTGTGGATGCACTTTATCGCAACCCGCGAACTTGATGCCTGGTGTGGTTGTCGCATGCCAGAAACTACAGGAGCCGGCCCTGCTTCCTGCTTATTGGCAATTTTAACTTTCCTCGAATACTGTGGCCTGAGGTTCAATTTCTCTCTGGGCACTGTGCAATCGTTATATGATATTTGAGACTGGGGCAGCACGTCACTACTGCCAACCGACGCACGTTACACCGCATTCCGCTCCATCGTGCTTGGACCTACTAGTAACTAGTTGAGAGCAAGGTGTATGTGATATTTAAGTCCTGGAGCTTCTGACAGCTAGTGACCACTCGATGGTCTTAGTCAGCCTATAGCTGCCGCTGCCCCACTCGCGTCCGCTGGAGTCGTCCTAGAATTACTGGAAGACCGACTTCGATGGTCACTGTCGAGCAGCTAGTAAAGTGGACTGATCGCTACCGCAGGCTTCATCTGTTGAAGCATACTGTATTATAAAAAAGTGTGCAATCGTACGCTCGTTTCATACTCCCCGAATATAGAAAAGCCGGGTCAGTGAAGTCACATTAGTTCAACAAAGTGTATGGCCAGTTTGCTTGACAGCGACACGTATTGTGGAATAAATTTCTCATGTCTACCTCTATCGACGATTACGAAGCCTACACGAAGCAGCAGGATGTATGCAACAGCGCAAAAGTACGAAGGCGTCAACAATTCGAAGAGGAGCTCACAACTTCGGCCACGCCTGAGGCCCGCAGGTGACCTAGCGGTGTTAGAGAGCTCGGATAGACAGGCTCTGACTTCCAGCACTGTACGTGCGTCTGCATTGGCGGCGCACTTCGCTTCCGTGTTTACAAGTTGGCATGCGCGTAAGCCGATCTCGACGTGTGAAACCTACGGAACTCGAGTGCCTGTATTTCGATGTGAAAGATGTTCACAGTATATTCGCGAGTCTTGACAGCATGGAGCATGCCGGACCCGACATCCTGATTCCACTAATTCTAAAGTCCCTATCGTCCATCTCACCTGCTATGACTGATCTGTTCAACAGATCGTTGTCTGAAGAGATTCATGAGCTGGAAATTCTTGACAGTGAAGCCGATTCCGAAGGGCGCGACCAAGGTGGACAATTACCCGCCGGTTTGTCTGACCTTTGGTTTGGCGAAAGTGCTTGAGCAGATTGTGAAAAAATGGTATTCTTTAGCTGTTAGAGTCGAAAGACATCGCCCGCACAACACGGTTTCATGAAGGACCGCTCCTACATCACTACCTGCTGTTGACGCGGCAGGCGTT